TAGAAGTCGCTTGCATCAATGGCCAAATTAGTCAAAAATTCATGCAAAGATGTGTTTATTTTAAAGAATTTTCATGAGGATTTAAAAAAAAAAATTGCTGAAGACATGTGGAGAACTGAATTTAAGTTTGGAAAAATGAGAAAGTTAAGAGAACGAAAACTGACAGATCCTTCCATTCCCTGTGACAGCATATTTTCCACAACAGCCAGAACACGTAGAAATGTGCTTTGCTTAAAATAAAATAAAAAATCCACTTTGGTGACAAGAAGGTACAGTCAGAGAAGAACCAACCTTGACATGTGCCCTTGCTCACCTGTCCAGTGTTCATTATATAAAGTGCTTAAAAGAAATATCTGGAGGGAAGGTGCTGCAAAAGGAATGTTCTTGTGCAAGTGAGCAGCAAGCAGAGCTGTGTGTGTGCAGACCGCATTTCCTTTTATGCTGAGTTCTGTTCCTTTTCCATTTCTGTCAAATGATTCGTGGCCCCAGATTTGCAAGGTCATCTTCATTTGAATCTGCTGCGCTGCATTTTTTAAGTGACGTGAGCATCTCCCCTGACTTTATTGCTATGATAAAAAGGATGTGAACCGTGTGGACCTTGACAAAAGCACTAGCCACATAAAATCCAAAAAGTTGCCCCGCTGGGCCAGTAACCGGGAGGCAGTTTATGATTTGCAGTGCATCAGCTCCTCTTTTTAGTTTATCTGTTTATGCATTAGCCTTATTAACATCACATCCAGCAGTGAGGGTCAGAAAGCAGCTTCCTCCCCCCTCTCCCAGTTATCTTTAAATCCAGACACATCACACCTTTGATTACCTGATCCTAGGGACAAATAACAGGAGGAGGCTATCTCCTTGATGTTCCACTTTTCAGTTCCCAGGAGTACATGGATGGCCATTTTTGGAGACAGGAACATGTTATCTAGAGTTAACAAATTGTCAACATCACATGTACCTGGCTTCTGTCTCCTGTGAGAATATGATTAAGTGGCAGGTAGCCTATTTCTAAGTATTTCACAAAAGTAAACAAGATGGTGGGAAATCCGTGATCAGATTCCCCCCCCCCCATGATTTAAAAAGGCTAAATATTGGTTGGTTGGTTCAGTTTATCAAGCACCAGATAACAATAGTTCTTTGGAGAGTGTACAAAGGAAAACAAATTAACTATCAGAGTTCTGGTACAGCAACAATAAATAAATAAATAAATAAAGCTTCTGAAATTCATAAGGGGTACTATTTATTTATTAGGAGAGAGGATGCTCCCTTTAATGAGACAGACCAGCGGTCCATCTCTTTCTTTCTCTTTGGCGATCCCATATAGTCGCATAAGATTGTCTTCCATAAACAAGGTTTTAACAGTAAGTCCGTAAGTGACTGTGGAGGCCAATTCTGGATCCAAACATCCTTCCGCAATGGGGACATAGGTTTCTGGGCGGGAGTTGATCACGGTGTGGATTTGCCAAGCGTGCCTTCCTCTTAGCACGTTTCTCCCTTTCATCCTGAGTTTGAGCATCTTCAAGGACTATGGCACGTTTGGTAAAGTCTGTTCTCCAGTTGGAGCTCTCGCAGGCCAGTGTTTCCCAGCTGTCAGTGTTTATACTTCATTTTTTTAAATTTGCCTTGAGAGAGTCTTTAAAACTCTTTTGTTGACCACCAGCATTACGCTTTCCATTGGTCCATCTAGCTCAGTGTTGTCTCCTGGCAGCAGCACTCCAGGTTTTCAGGCAGAGGCCTCTCCCAGCCCCTATTTGAGATGTTGGGGATCAAACCTGCTGATGGCCACTCATTTGGATGGCTTTAAAAGAGGATTAGACAAATTCATGTAGGAAATGGCTACTAGGCATGATAGCTCTGCTCTGCTCCACTGTCAGAGGTAGTAATCCTTCTGAATGCCACTTTCTAGGAACCACAGCAGGGGAGAGTGATTCTGTGCTCGCGTCCTTCCTGCTTACAGGTTTCCTGCACACATCTGGCTGGCCAGTGTGAGAACAGGATGCTACACTAGATGGGCCACTGTGCTCTTCTTATGGATGTTCTCAGAAGCCCCATCATTCCTAACCATGGGTTAGGCTAACTGAAATCTGATGGGCACTGTATTCCAAAGCTTCTGGGGGGCACCAGATTGGGGAAGCCTAGTGGAGGTGGTTCCGAATTAGATGCTGCAGCAGTTTGACTCCACATGAGGCTGCTGCCTACGCAACTTCCTCCCTCTCTCATATACATGAATGCTTTCCCCTCTGCCGCTGCTTCCCATCCTGCCTTCATCTCCCCATCCTCTCCTGTCCTTTTCAGTTCTCTGCATTGGCATGCAATGCAGTCACTGTTGTCTCTAGTTAGTCAATTAAGATATCATGTTTCATGGCTCTCCTATGCCCCTCCTCCCCACTCCTCATTCGATATTACTTTTCCAGCCTTGTCTTGGCAACTGTGTTTGCAACAAATTGCGGGATAATTTGTTTTTCTAATTTCCAAGCTTTGATCTCCCAGTTACCAGGGGGTCGGTTATTCAGGCACCCAGTGCCAGCGATCTGGGACTGCACACAGAGATTTGTGCTGTGCGAGGAAATACTTCATTAGACTTGTATTCCATGAAGACACTTTCACTCCTTAACGCCTATGATTTTAATTAAAACCTGGAAAGTGAAGAATCCTCTGGCTGTATTAATGCTTTCATTTCCATTAGGACAGCCGAGTTTATAAACATGGGCAGAGTTTATAAATTAGACCTTGTACGAATAATAAGTGCTGAGAGCAGCACACAGCTCAAGTGGAGCTGGTTCCATCTGTTTCTCCCTTTATCTCCCTCTGGCTTTTCCTGCACCCTTCGCTGGGCTGAGCCTACCTGAAGGTATTCAAGGCTGGAAATGATGCTTAGGTCCTCTTCCACCCTTTCTTCTTCTTCCAAACCCTAATAAGGGAAGAAACATGGCAGAATGGCAGGATTGAAGCCTTGCATTCTGTAGGTCCCAGGTTCAATACCCGACATCTTCATGTTTCTGTGAAATACCTCGGTCTGAGACCATGATGAGCTGCTGGCAGTTAGGAAAAATTACAATAAGTTAACAATCAATAAAAGAGTAAGCAAAGCAGCACAACAATTTCAGGGACAACAAGTAAGACAGCATAATGGACCATGAATCACTCCTTCTTAGGTTTATTTTCAGAGTCTTTGTGGATCATTTTATTGAAGGGGTTTTTTTATTGGAGAGGAAGTTGCAAAAATTCTAATCAATGAATCAATCGATCAATCAGTCTAATCATTCAATCAGTCTATAGTCGATAGTCTATGATGGTTTTGTGATTCCCGCCCCCCTGCTTTTTTAATGAATTCTTCACATACTTACGTATTTTGTAGAAATTTTATTTTATTTGTGGTTAGAGGTCTGTGTTCTTATACTGTAAACTTCCCTGTTGTCTTCAAATGAAGGGCGGTATAGAAATTTAACAAATGAATGAATGAATGCTGGGGTCTGGATTTGGAAATGGTATGATAGGATGTTCAGCTACAGTAAAAGTATAGAGTAGATTTAGAATTCAGTAGATGAAGAGTGATTAGTTCTGAAAGCCTTAGGAAATGGAAAGATATTTGCTTGGTGCTGAAAAAAAATATATAAGTAAGTTGCCTGGTGAGCATCTTTGTGGAGGACATTCCATAAGTGAGGAACCACCACCAAGAAGTCCCTTTCCTTGGTCACCAGCCACCTCACTTCATTGGTAGGGGCACATGGAGCAGGGCTCCTGTAAAGGATCTTAAGTTTGGGACTGGCATCTGTGGAGGAAGATGATATTTCAGATCTGTTTCGAGTACGTTAATGGCTTTGTAGATCAAAACCAGCACTTTTACTTGGGCCCAGAAACAAGCTGGGAGTGATTGCATGAGAAAGGCTGTAAAGATAGGAGGCAAGAACCCCACATTTATCTTGGCTGGACACGTAGCTTGCATTCCAGGACATCATGTTGGATTCACTTCTCACAAGGTTGATTTAGCAGAAATCTAGACATCCGAAAGGGGCTATGAGAGCCCTGATGAACCAGTCCAGCATTTTATTTCTACAGTGGCCAACCACATGCCAATGGAAAGGCCACAAGCAAGACCTGAATGCAATAGCAACTGGTATTCAGCAACTGGTATTCAGATGCATACTGACTCCATTAACGGTAGAACATAGCCATCAAAGTTGGTAGCCTTATCCTCCATGAATTGGTCTAATCCTCTCTTAAAGCCATACAGGTTGATGGCCACAACCACATCTAGTGGGAATGAGTTCCATAGTTTAACCCATACTCCAACACTGTATGGTCAGGTTTTTTCCCCCAAAAAAGGTACTGTTCCCCCGCCCAATCCTATTTTGTTGTTGTTGCTACTGCTGCTCTTGCTTCATTTTCAGCAGTCGACTGTTTTTGACGCCAAGTGCCAAGCCAAAGAAGAAAGGCAAAGGGAAGCACATCATCTGTCTCTGTCTCCTTGAGCAGAGTGGGGATGTTATTGAGATATCCTTCCAAGCAGCTTAAACAGAAACGTCTGGTGACAAAATGAAAACAAATGCAAAAGCCAACCAGACTCCCTCAAGGGGGGTGGTGTCCCCCATCTCCGTTACTGTCAGCCCCAGTGGGAGAGGCAAGATGGAGCTTCCATCCCCCTTTCATACTTCCAAGTCAGCGGCAGGCAGAGAAGGGCTGGCCGTGTTGTTCTTTGTGATTTTTCAAACTCCTCTTGACATTGCTGAACCCATTAGGGTCCATTATGTAGGCTGTCTGAGAGAATAGGGAGATGCTCTCCTACTGTTAACTCTCAAAGGGCTCGGAGTTATTTCAACCCCCCTCCCCAAGCTGCGGCCCATTAATCACAGTTACGTGAGTGTCTCCCCCTGCTGAACAGGATTTCAGTTTATATTACTTTTTGCCATCACTATTCAGGTTCGAGAGTCTATCTGTGTCTATATTAGGAAGTGCAATTCTGAAGTGTATTGATGGATTGACTCTGATACCCATCCCTCCCATATTTTTGTATGGGTGTGCATGTATGTGTGTATACCTGCATGTGCACACACACACACACACACACACACACACACACACACCTTTGCACAGTTGTTGGAGAAGACATTCACCTGTGTGTCGTCTTTAATTTTTTAAAGGCACTTGGTTTTTAAAGGCACTCTGTGTTTTAACATCTGCTCTGTACAGATTGATGGCAACTGGGCATTCGTATGTTAGCTTATATTAGGGGCCCTGATAGGGGTGGCTGGATTTGTCAATTTTGGTGTTTCTTGGTTTCTCTTTTCCCCTAAGTGTAGGTTCATATCACTGCATTTCCATATGAATTTGCATTTTTTTCTTTTAAAGGTTTGCACAAAAAGCAAGCATCATCATGCATATTTTTCTTAATATCTGCAATGTTTCTTATTCATCATCAGCATAGCTATAGGCTCCCAGTGTCCTATGGAACATCGCTTCTGTTCAGTAAGTGGAATAATTAAAATTAAATTAAAATTCTGTCCATGTGCATCAACTCTATGGGGCTAAGGCTTCTACACCCTCCATGTCTGCTGGGATGGGGCTCAGCACCCCTCCAAATCTCAAGGGGGCAAAAGAGATATGGCAGGATTTTGCCCTGGGCTGCACAGTGCCTCCAGATGTGATGCAAATGTCACATTGGGAGGAGGTCTGGTCGGCCTCTCCAGATGCAACAGTTGTCACACACATGCAAGACACACTGATGTCATGTGTACACACACACGCACGATGTCACATGCAGCCCCTCCAATATTGGGCGCAACTTGGCACCTGTGATTCTGTCGGTGGTTGGCTGGGAATGTTGACCATTGTTCCTTTTCCTCATTGTATTTATATCTGACAGCCTTAAAGATTAAGTGAGTTTTACACGCCTCCAACGTATTCTCTGGCTCAGTTTAGATCTGAGATGGAGAATTCGTATTTCCCCACCCTGAGCTCCAAAACATACCCACCATTTCCTAACCCCCCAAACACAGAAGCAGCCATGCTGGCAGTGTGCCACAGAAAGGAAAAATTGGGAAATTTGAGACCACCATACCCTGGCATATTGGCATGCTACTAGTCAAATTTGACTGGACTTAACTGTCCAGGGGTCTTTTACTTTACCTACATAGATGATGATATTATTATTATTATTATTATTAATAATAATAATAATAATAATAAATATATATATATATATGCTGTCCCATCTGACTGGGTTACCCCAGCCACTCTGGGCAGCTTCCAATAAATTAAATCATTAAGCACAGTAAAACATCAGACATTCAAAAACTTCCCTATACAACGTTGCCTTCAGATGCCAGAGTGCAAGGTGCAAAAGCCACATCAGATGTAGTTAACAGATGTGCTATTTCTGTTCCTCTTTCTCCCTGAGTTTTTAAAGACAGTGTAGTCATGTTTTCCACAACAACCGGTATTTTAGCAATGTAACTTCCCAGGCCCACTTTAAACTCAGCATTTCCAAAAGATTGCACACTGCCAGGGCTTGCAGCCTGTGTGTGTGTGTGTGCGCGCGCGCGTGCACACACACACGCGCGCACACACACACACACACACACACATAACACTGGATGTATCAAGTCTCCGACCAGATCACATTACCTCTTGTAGCTCTGATCTACATGATGTGTGCGAAAGTGACTCAGTTAATGGTGCTTTAAATAGTTCCTGCTGGGACAGATTAGAGATCTGCTTCACAGTTTCTGCAAGCCCAGGAGAGCAGATGATGGGGATTTAGTGCCCACACCAAGTGTTTACAGCAACACCTTCTCCAGAAGAAGTCTCCTGAGGTGTCCTTTCTAAGTAGCAACATGTCGAATTGTAACACCCCTTTAACTGCTAGGAATACAAATGAAGATCAGAAAGACTGTGAAGCGACTTTGGTTTAGTCTGGGTCAAGGGCAACGCATATCACAATGCAAGGAATCGGGGGGGGGGCTCCTTTATCCCCTTCAGAAGGAATTATGCCCACGTTTCTACTAAAAGGGTTTTCAGAAGTGCAGCTGCCACACTGCCAGTCAAAATGAGAACTGAGTTGATGTTTTATATGCAGGTTTTTGTGGAGAGTGAGGGCAATAAGAAACTATGGTACCACATAGGTCTGAAACTGTTTCCCTGTTTAGGGAAGCTTTTAATGTTTAATAAGTTATTGTATTTTAGTGTTTTGTTGGAAGCCGCCCAGAGTGGCTGGGGAAACCCAGCCAGATGGGTGGGGCGTAAATAATAAATTATTAGTATTAGTATTATTAACTGGAAAAAAGCTGGGGGGAAACCCCATGGATTAGCAGAAGGGAGGTTTGGGCTTACCTCCCAGAGGCTTTTAATCCCACCCATTTACCTGCCACCGCTACCACTTGCATGGCTGCCTGTAGTGAGCACAAGATATATCCGTACCTGGCTGCATTTCCTGCTGGCAGCAAGACAGAATGTTGAGGGGAACATTTCCATGGCCTCACACATGCTCCAAACTAGGGCTGGAAGAAGGCACTGTTTTCCATTCTGCCTTGTATTAGTCACAGGCAGGCCTGTTTCTCTTCCACTGCAATTCATCTTCTGCCAAAAACTTCATTATTCATCTCACTATCTGAAGTGGCACAATGTCATAACACATGTAACTGTCGAATTATGTAACTTACTTAATTAGGTTGTCCTTACATTATTCCATCCCATTCATTTCAGAGCAAAGAAAACACAATGATGGGTGGGGTATAAATAATAAAATTATTTATTTTTAGTATTGTAAATGGGCAGATTAGTTTTATTTTATTTATTTCATAAAATTTATATGCTGCTCATGGTAAGGAAAAACCTCAACACAATCAATTATGTATTCTTTGCGGACTGAAAGCAACAACAGCAGCAAATACTGATTGCATTTGCTGGATTGATTTCCATTCCAGACTGAAACAAATAAGCAAACACCAGCAAGTTCCTCTCTCGTTTCCATTTTTGTCAGAATTCTCTATATCCCTACTCCCAAAGGCTGTGTGAAGCCTTAAAACAAGTCTAATTGAAGATAAGCAAGCATATTTTAGCACTTTGTTTCAGTAAGTTAATCCAGACCAGAAATTTGACAGCTTGGAAAGTTCCATCACTTCTTGCAAGGTTCTTAAAAAGGTTTTCTAAAAAAATAGTGAGAAAGAATTCCTCACCACCTCAATTAAGTAAAGGAAGGCAAACCGTCTCTCACCCAAAATTAAGTTTGTAGAATTTCTCTCACCCCACCAGAAAGCAGCAGAATTCCTCCATAATTTAAAATGGGAAAGGGAACAGGGTTCAACACTAGTCGCAGTCTGATTTCACTCAAAGTATCCCCACCATTTCACTAGGGTGTACATCAAGGGGTTTTATTTATTTCCTTATTTCTTTGACTGAGGTGGGGGGGGATGACAAGAGAAACAATTAAAGAAAAGGAAGAGGGAAAATAAGGAAAAAAGCATAGAAAGCAACCACAACAAGAGTGATCAACAAGTCAAACCAGGGTATTTTTCCTGCAGGGAAAAAAAAGTTTGTCAAGGGCAGCTTTGGTGGGCAAAGGGTGAGGTGGCTCTTCTTCTTACTTGCTAGTGCACCACAAAAGAAGTCCTTACCACACCATTCACTCTCCACAAAAGGTGCCTAGTGGAGCTTGGATTGAGACAGAACCATGAGACAGAAACATATGCAGGCAGAAGAAAAAGGCTGGAATGGATCTGCAGCTTCTGCCTGTGTCTGTCTCTGGAAGTGGCGGTGGGTGATTGCCTCCAGCAGCGGCAGTAAGGGAGGAAGAGAATCCCTCCTCCTGCCATACTGCTGCCAGTCTCAACAAGGTCTTGTGAGATCTCACTGGAAATTGGTGCTGCTACAGTCACTGTTTCTCCACCAGTGGTGGAGGTGTGGGGCAGGTGTTAGAATTCCTGCTCCATGATTGCAGTCATGGGATTTTTGTCTTTCACATGACGGTATATGTTTTGACTCCACGGAGTGCGATGTGACGGAGACAGGATGTTTGTGTTACTGTGTTCCATGAGGTGGGACTATTGTCTTTTGTTCTTTTTCCTCTTTGCTGTCTGATGCTAGAGAGGGAGCCATGTTGCAGTGCCCCGTGTGTGTTTATATGTAAATAAAGTAGATTAGCCAAAATGCTGAGTTGCTGAGGTCTGTTACGCATGATGCACAAACTCTGCAGATCCCTAAGTGTGCTGGTGTCGGTTGGCGTTGGCATTGGTCTCTGTCATGTTCGGGCTGAAGAAAGCTTTTGAAGCTCCCAAATGATTGACCAGGAGGGAGAGAACATGCCAGTCGGGCATGTGTCTCTACCAGGGTCCTACTCGAGTGTAGGCTGAGCTGCTGACAACAGGTGGGGTACCTGTAGGGGCACAGCCTTGGGGGCTTTTGCTGTCTGAAGTGGCTGCTTCACCTTGCCTCATAAGTGGGTCAGTCCTGGTTGGAGCCAGTCACCACCACTGCCACTTCCAGACACAGAATTCAACCTTTTTTATTCTGATTGTGTTTCTCTCTGTCTTATCCCCCCGTCCCTTCCATTTTTGTCTCTCTCAGACTTCTGCTTCCTTGTGGATCATGGCAGCGGAGGGAGCCAGTTGCCACTCCATAATCTCCCCTCCTTGCCACAATCCCCATTAAAAAAAAAAGAAAGGTGTGCCTAATGAGTGAAAACAGAAGGGCCTGTCCTTGCAATACATTGCAAGGATAGTATTTCCCTGGATAATTTTTCATCACTGAAAAAGTACTGACGTCTACTGTGTTAGACAGTTGGGTATTGCTTTCATTACCTTTGTGTATTCAGATTTTCTTTCATGCTGCCAAATAAGGAAAATGTGATATTAATAAAATGCAGTTGTCATTATTCTTAATGACACTGTTGGAAAAAGTCTATGCCATGGCTCTCCAGCTTTCTATGGAAAGGAAAAGAAGTATACATACACGAACAAAGTACTGCATGTGTTGCTGCTGATAGAAAAGAAAGGAGTAGGTGATGTTTTGGCCTTGCAGTTCTACCCCAATAATGCATTCTGATACCATAAAGAGGGGAAATGGTGTATAATTTGTAGCTGAAATACCAGGCCATGAGGCTGTAGAAGCTCTTGTTTTCCTTAAGGAAAATCTGAAGTAAAAGAGTTATTTCAACATGTTATACATATTTCTTAGCATCTCTTTTGAAAAATTTCCATCATGCTACTGCAAATTATTACAATACATTGCAGATATCTCCAAATCATTTTGAACACTGTGAGGAAACCGTTGTCCTAAACACTTACAGCATCTGCGTATAAAATCCAATTTTGTTTCCCTAAAAATCCTACAGGTAATTTTGTGCAGAACTTTTAACCCAAGGAGTGAGATGGTATTGTGCATGCACACACACAATTAATTTGCAGAGATTATGTCACTTGGAGGCAGTGGGGGGTTGTGAAAAGAATACACAACAGAAATGTGCTGCATAAAAATACTGTAGGAGCATCAGAATTCCTCCCTCAAGTATCCTCATACTGTATGTTTGGGATGTCAATGCAAGTACATCAATACCATTTCACAATTTTTATAAATTGCTTTAAAATGACACGTACAAGTGGAGGAGAGTTTTCAGACAAGTATGGCAATATGCTATGGACAACCGTAACGGACAGCAAATGGTGCTACCATTAATTCCATCCCCTCTCAATTTCCTCAGCCATCATATATCTGAAGTGCTCCTCATTGCAAATCACAGCTCTTTACGCTGCATTTGGTGGCAGAATATGAATGATTCCCATTTAGTTCCATAGGAATTACTTGTGTCCTTTAGTTTAAGGAGAGGACAAAGGCAATGCATGTTCTGTTACATCTCATATCTGAGAGTCTTTGTCACATATCATAAAGGCTCTAAGATATTGTTCAGCAAGAAAGAATAGGAGGTCCTTTCTCTGACTTTGATGTGTCTCCAATATTTCCCCATTCTCTCATTCCCAACAGATCATTCTTATATGGGCTTTCTTCCTCGCTATCACTTTCTCCCCCCCCACCTCTCTATATATACAGACAACATTTTCTGACAATGAATTACTGTCCATGTTCTTCTTGCAGTTCCCCAAAGACATGGGCATGTTCTGGTATACAGCCCAGAGGGAACTTGTTTCTTATTTTTTTGACAGGCAGCTGCCAAATGACTCACTGGATGGTAAAATACTGCAGACAGGAAAGCAATCCCTACTCTTTGTTGCAGCCTTTTTGGGTATTACCATTATCACCATTTATAATGGGTCCTTATACTACATGATCTCTGTGGTGTGTCTAGCTCTGCAAATAAGTTGGGGCAAATATGAGCAGAGTAGGGAATGTCCATAAATACTGGTGACTTTCCAGATTCGTATGAAAAATGGAGAGCATACACAAACAGGTTGCCTGGACATTGCCTTGGCGATAGGTTTCAAATCCAAGTGACACTTCATTCTTACACATGCCCATGGGGTTAATCTCAGGAGCAGAAGTAATTACTAAGGCATGACCAACAGACTTATCGCAAGTTGAAGATGGACTTTGAAAACCATCCTCCTTTGTTTTTTCTTGCCCCATCTCCTGCTTCA